TTCCTCTCTGATTCATAAGGAATCCGAGAAATTTCCCAGACTCAACTCCAAAGACACATTTCTTGGGATTGAGCATGACATGGTGCCGCGTGAGTGTGGCGAAAGTTTCTCGGAGGTCCGACAGATGATCTTTCTGAAGTTTAGACTTTACAATCATATCATCAATATATGCCTCGACATTTCTCCCAATCTGATCAAAGAACACAGTGTTTATCATTCGCTGGAAAGTGGCCGGGGCATTCTTAAGACCAAACGGCATGACCGTGTAACAGTATAACCCCTGATCAGTTACGAAGGCCGTCTTCTCCTGATCTTTCTCCCATAAAGGAATTTGATGGAAACCAGAGTAGGCGTCCATAAAGCTCATCAAAGCATGGCCGGCTGTTGAGTCGACCAGGTTATCAATTTTAGGCAGAGGGTAACTGTCTTTGGGGCACGCCTTGTTTAAGTCTGTGTAGTCTACACACATTCGCCAGGTGCCATTCGGCTTTTTAACAAGCACCACATTTGCAACCCAGTCTGGGAAGTAACATTGCCGAATGAACCCTGCATCAAGTAATTTTTTAACTTCGGCGGCTGCCGCCTGACTTCTTTCTTCGCCATGGTTCCGCTTCTTCTGCCGTACCGGCTTCTTTTTCGGATCCACGACCAGTTTATGTACCGCCACATCAGGACTAATGCCTGGCATTTCATGGACTTCGAATGCAAAGATGTCCTTGTATTCTTTCAATAGTTTGTGAAAGTCGTCACCCAGGTCCCTTAGAGCAGTCGTCCCAACCTTGATTGTTCTGTCAGGACGCGAGTCATCTAACATCAGGTCCGTATGCTCACCAGCTGGCTGAGGGCGGAATTCATCCGACCGCTCCTCTGCCAATGATTGCTATTTTCTGTCTTTTCTTGCGGCCCCTGTCTGGGATGCCTTTCTCTTCTTGCCGCCTGCTTCTTGAACAGGCGCACTCTCCTTGACATTGTCAAGGTCTATTTTTCCACCGCTCGACATAGTGGCCATAACAGTGGGCTTGACATCCGAGAGATAGCACTCTCGGGCCATCCTCTGATATCCCCTTAGGGACCCGACTGTTCCATTATCCCTCTCAAACTTGAGCAACATAAGAGATGGGATTATAACAGCCTTGGAATTATTCAGGGTTGGTCGTCCCAGAATCATGTTGTAGGCCGAGAGTTCTTCTACTACCAGGAACCGGACTACCATGTGTCGTCCTTCCCCTTTTTCGCCCAGGCGGATGGGTAAATCCACTCGTCCCACTGGGTGGACGACTCCTCCTCCAAACCCTACTAAAGGGTGGGATGCCGGATGTATGCAATCAGTCTGATATTTTAGTTTCGACAGACATTTGCTACTGATGAGATCTGAGGAGCTTCCGGTATCTATGAGGATTCTGCCAACTCTCTGGTTGGCCACTTTACATTCAATAACGATAGGGTCGTCATGCGGCGCTCTTACCCCTCCTAGATCTTCTTCAGTGATGACAATCTCAGGAAATGAATATTTGGAGGGCCGTTCTTGGTGAACGGAATTTACATCTAACTGTCTGATATTGTCTTTGTTGCCCCTAATAGTGGGGCCGCCTCCTGAGAAGCCGCCTGCAATGGTGTAGACGACTGCATCATCTGTATCGGAGCTGTCGGCCTATTGATTCTTTTTGGCCGACTGCTTTTTCGAGGAAGTGTTCCCCGTAGATTTCTTGACATAAGTGTCAAGATCACCTTGCTCAGCCAGGTGGTCCAGATACCGCATGAGACTGATGCATTCATTGGTGTGATGACCAACATCTTCATGATAATCACAGAATTTTTCTTGGTTCCGGTTGTTTGCAGAACCCTTCATGGGGACCGGCTTCTCAATTGAAATCCGTCCCTTGATTTCCTTTAGGATAAATTGGCTATCCTTGTTAAACGCATACTTTGGGGAGTATGGTTTGAATTCTTTTTTCTTTTTCTGGGCCGGCTGTTTAGAGGAATCAGCCGCCCAGACCTCTTTTCTCTTCTCGTCTTTGTTTGACGACTGTTTCTGTCGTCCTTCTCTTTTGTCGGACCTTTTCCCGTCTGACTGTTTTACCGTACTACAAAGATCAGTCACCTGTATATAGGCTTCCGCTTCAATCAAGGCCTCTTGAAGAGTCGCCACCCTCTTTCGGACCAAATCAAATTTGAAGGTCGACCCGTCTTTGAGACCTTTGAAAAAGTCAGTATAGGCTACTTCATTCGGTAACCCTTGAATCTGTATTCTCATGAGGTTAAACCGCCTGATGTAAGAACGAAGCCCCTCCTTCTCGCCCTGCTGAATTGTTCCTAAATCAAGGGTCGTCTTCTTCGCAGGGATGTTCATGGCGAAGTTGGAGGTGAATGAGTAAGCAAGCGTCTTGAAGTTATTTACACAACCAGTCGGCAGGTTGCCGAACCATTGTTGTGCGATTCCTTTGAGAGTCGCTGGGAAACACTTGCACCAAGTGGGATCATCCAACCCTTGAAGGTCTTCTGGGTTAGTAGTGCCGTCATAGGCGCCTACTAATACATTTTTCACTTTGGCCGGCTGAGCGGCTTCAGTAATTTCCTTGGAGAAGGCCGACGGCTGCTCACCAAGTCTAAGCAACCGTAGCTGCCAGTCCATAGGTTGGACATTTTTTGCTGCATGTCCACCAAACGGAGGTGGTTGTAAAAAATACTGTTGTTGCGGTACAAACGGTAAGTTTGGTACCGCCTGGTCGCTATGAAAGCCGGACTGACGGGAGGTGTCGCCTGACTGACTCTCATGATACGACTGAGTATGTGTCTTGGAAGTTTGAAGTAGAGGCCGACTCTGACAATCGGTCACTCTTCTTCTGTTCTAGCAGTAGCCGAGCGTCTGTGTATGTTTTCCTCGACCCGTCCGCCTGAATATGACGAACAGGTTTCCTATTTCCTGGAGTAGGAAAACGGTATTTTGTGAAATCAAGGGCAGGTGGCTCCCACTTCCTAGATTTAGGATGAGGGGTCGCCTCTCGCCCTTGAACTGGCTTCCTCTTCCGTGAAGTGGAGGGTTTCTTAGCCGACTGCTCCTTGTCCAGAGGCGGCTTCTTGTTGATCAACTCTTGAATTTCTTCCTTGAAGTCCCTCATGAAGGTCATGAGTTCGTTCCTTGTGATGGGAGCAGACCCATCAGTCGGCTGCTGCCGAACAGGCGGTGCGCCTGCTGGCTCGCTTCCAGTTTGAAGATGTTCCCGTTCCCTCCTTTCGGTATGACGGGTACGTCGGACCCTTAGGGTCCCGTGGTGTGAGCTTCAACTTCAAATTCATTCTCAGTATCGTGGTCCGACTGAACTAGAGGGTCGTCCAGGGGACGTCTCTCTTCAGGAGCCGGTACAAACGTGGATGCCATCTCAGAAGTACTCTCCCCACAGACGGCGCCAAAATGTTTCGGGGTTTTCTGATGTCCTGCGGGAGAGTTACAATTCCGAGACTGGAACCGGACGCCTGTACCTGCAAAACAAACGGATGCTCCGGATGATTGGAGATCCGCCTCCGACGGTCAAGTTAGTACTTGATTAAGGAGTAATTAATGCGGAAATTAAAGTGATTGGGTCTCTCTTGGTGAGAGAGTTTAATGTGTGTAATCTGCGTAATCTCCCTTAATGAGGATTAAGGGAGGTATTTATAACCTCGGGAAACGTGCCAATCTAGGTTTAGGTTAACCTTGGGCTGATTGGGCTTCCCTCGGAAGTTGGGCCTGGGTGGCCGACTTCTCCATTAGGCATGGAGTATGCCACGTGTCATGACATAATAGGTCCAAGGCGGACGAATAAGCGTGTGCCACGTGGCAAGCCCTGAGAGGTCCAACTGGGGAACACTTGGCAGGACCTGATTGGCCCACGTGGCGCATTCTGATTGGCGGGAGCAAAATCCCCTAATCAAAACTAGCATAAAAACGTCCAAAATCATGTAATTATAACCAAAGACCAAGAAGAGGTAGGAGATTAAGAAAATAGGTCAAAACTACAAGAAAAGGGGATAAAGAAGCGAGAAAAGACTAAATTAAGGGGTAAATGAGTCGTATAAGTGGTCTAATCATAGTTAAATAATGTAGTCTTACTAACGTCCCAATTTATTTTATTTCTATGATTACGGTATTTGTTTAGCTAGCCATATCTTAAGTTCTTTTCCAATCCAAGGTCTAAAGGAAATATCCTCCTTCACAATTACTAGGCTAAGGATGTGAATACCTCACTAATCAGTACATAAATAAATTCTCAGCGGTAAGGGTGTTTTTTTTTTTCTTCTTCTTCTATCTAGATGTGCCAATATCAATGATTTGCCTCTGATCACACAACTGCTCTAAGGTGCACTGATAGGCTCATGAAGTGCGCACCAAATTTTAACTCTTTTCAAGTTTGCCTCACTCTGTTCTGCTCACTGAGGCACAAAAAGGGGTATAATGATCCCTATCTTAGTGTAACTTGAGCCTTTTTTTATACAGTGCTTACAACCCCTCGTCCTACTAATGAGTACCCTGCTGGTGTGTAGACCTTGCAGCATGCCTTTATCAATGCTAAGGTTTGGTGACAAGTTCTTGGTAGGATACCTCTGTTATAGATGTCCTATTGAGCTAACTTCATTAGTAATGATTTACATGAATTAATTGATTTGTGGACACATGCTTCATGTATGTGTCATGCTTAGAATTCTGTGTAGTTGCAGTAAAAAATCAATTATTGTATGTGTGTTTAATTTCCAACTTGTAAGTCTTTCTTAGACTTATACAGGTTACTAGTTCCTTATTTGTGGTCTTTTTCTATAATTGTATGTTTTATGCCATTTAATTGTCTTGGTTTTGTGCAATTATTATATTTTATGTATTAATCTGTTTGTTTTCATTACTTTCTACTTATGTTGATGCAATTTTAACTAATACTCTGTACATGCTGATGTATGATGCGTCTATGCTACTTGGTTTTATGTTTTTCCTGACGTCAACTTGATTTTGTTTATTTATGCATGGTTAGTGTCTGTTCAGTGGAAACAATTGCCTACTAGCAATGAGTGCCCACCAGCACGAGCATATCATTCCATGACGTTAATTGGTTCACGATATTTGTTATTTGGTGGCTTTGATGGGAAATCTACTTTTGGTGATATATGGTGGCTGGTTCCCGAAGGTATTCTATTTTCCAACTTGTATCTCAATTTTAGGTCCTTTTCTATTTAGAATAGTTGCTGTTCATTCCTGAAAATTTGCAGCGATGTCCAGAGCATATGGTTTCCTTAACATTTAATTAAAATATTCAGTTTATATATGAGTTCCTCTTCTTTATAGAAGGAAACTCCAGCATGTCAATACTTAAGTTTGATCATTCATGTAACGTCCAAGCTGAAGTCCCAAAATTTCCCTGTAGGTGTGGATGATAGTTCCTCTCCTGTATTGCCTCTTCATAACATTTAACCTAATAGCCATCTTGGTGAATGGCCTGGATATACAATGTGCTTCATTTTCTTGTATGGTACTTTGTAATGAAATTTTAGATCTGGGTGCAGCATTGTTTGTAATCTTCATTTGGAGAACCATTTAGTGTTTGAATTCCCTGAATCGTGCTGTTCATTTGAAATCTAGTGTCCTAAAGGCACCAATATGTCTGTAATCCTCTTGCTGGCACTGTTGCTGTGTGAAGAGGCAGGTTGTGCTTACTTGTTTTTTTGTTAAGGTACACTATCACACATAATGAGCATATGGACATTTTGAAATTTTTTATATATTGAAATTAGTTCTGAAGAGTGTTTTGAGTCTTTAATTTAAAAAACTTGCTAATTAAATGGCTTGTTATGTCTGCTGCTTAGATGATCCCATTTCAAAGAGGTCAACCCCATCTTTTCCCAATCAACTTCATGAAGACAAAAAAGTAGCTGCGTCAGATTCATCATTGCCGAATGTACTGAAGGTATAATGCAAATCTTCGCAGTACATGCTGACTTTTAAAATTGATGAGTTGGGGCTTGATTTAAAATTTTATTATAGAGTACAATAATTCGAAAATGACTTGGTTGGAAGGAGTTAGGAAGGCGATGAAGTATATGAATTTGCGTGATGAGGCGTTGGATCGCAAGGGATGGAGGAGGAAGATTTTTGTCGATGACTACATGGAATAATCACTTTTGGTTCATGTAGCTGACACCACTCATGGGATTAAGGCTTTAATTGATTGATTTAGAGTATAATAATTGGTTTTTTGCCTGTACAATTTGCCTCTTATACAAGATTTTTTTTTGTCAGTGTCACCAAAGAGTCATACTAATTAACATCACCGGAAAAAGTTTGGATATATCTTGTCACCCTCTGATCTGGTAGCAGTTGTATCCAAAGTTATTTGCTAGTATTGTTGCTGTTTAAATTATGGAGGGTGTTGAATTACAGTGCTGTATCAATGCATTTTCAGCTTGGATGTGCATTAAATATGTGGTTGTTTGAAAGTTGAAAGGATTATGGCATTAATCACCTTCAAATTGTTTTCTATGCCATCAAGAGATCTTTTTTTTTTACCCAAATTATACAATCTGTAAGCACTTCACTCAGAGGGAGTATAAAACAAAGATACTACCTTAATAGTACGCATTTTTATAGGTCATACCTACTTTGGTGTATTACATATTTAGGTGTATCACACCTTGAATATGGTTTGGTATAGTGAGCTGAAACTGTATATTACCTGACCTAAGATCAAGGAGCTGGTAGATTTTGATCTCGTAAATTCTCCTCAGTAGACAACATGCATGATGTTCATATCATGTTAGCTAGTGAATGGCTGGTTGTGATCACTGAAGACAACATATGTACTAGGTTTCATTATTTCACGAAACTAAATGTTTGTTTGATAGGTACAACATGTATAATTTTCCTGTTTCAATTGCTACCTTCTCATAACAAATTTGAATGATATGATGTGTATTTGAGTATAAACTTCCTGTTGATTTATGTGGATATTATATAGAATGGTATCTTTTGTGATAGTTTATCTTTTTGTCGGTTGAATTTCAAATTTTTGTTGACATTTCATTTTTGACCTTTTCAGGGCCTTAGGTGAAATAAGTATCTAGGGGACATCTTATACTAGAACACAAACACTATAATATATGAAAAAGCATTTGAGCACAAGATCGATTTGATTGTATTTTAATTGTATTGTTATTAATTTCCTAGTTACTTTCAGATTTCATCTATCTCTCTAAGTTCTACTAACTTTTACTTTGTTTCATCAATGTCAACCTTTATTTCATGATTTATCATTTCCACCCCACTCTGTGGAACTCAATATTTATAATGACTCTCTTACCCTCTAGTCTCTCCTCCTAACAGAAACTTTAATTACATAATTTTCCCTTTCTCGAGTTCTTCTCGGATTATATTGCTATGAGTAATTAAGTAGAAGCACTCAATTGATAATCCTAAAAAATATGAAATCATCATTCTGATAAAACCATGATTATCGAAATTTCATTTTTGTAGCTCTAAGTTGGAGGTCTGCTTGCTGTAGTGAGAAAAGGCCTAGCATTCGATTTTACCTATAACAGTTTTCTGCATATTATGTCCAGTCAATTGTACCTGTATATTGTGATCCTACTTGATTGTGTTGATGTCTATATCCCCTTGTTGTAAACTGAGTAGGCTCCTCTGAATTTGAATTTGTAGGAAAACCTACATCAAGAGTCTGCAATCTCAGAACTACAAAAAAGATTCAAGTCTTTTTCTTCATTTTCTAGATCTGAACATCAGATTTTGGATGAATCAAATGACAAGGAACTACATGAGTTAGCCTTAAAGTTCATGGAAGGAAGCATGTCTAGTAATGATGCAATTTCACTCAATCAGGTAAATTTGCTACATTTGGCTATGAGAAAGAAGATATAAATTTGAAAAGCTGACATTATTGCTTAGTCTATGTAGTTAACTCAATTTCTGTTGTACTTGCCTTTTAAAAAAAAAAAAATGAAAAAATTTGGCCGCAAATAGGCAGTTCAGTTGCTTCGTGATTATTGGAGGAACACTGAGCCTAACTTCATTGAGTTAAGACAGCTTGGGACCTTGCTTCGTGACTATCAGCGCTTGATTAATCATCATTGTCTGTAAGGCCTCTCTTTTTTTGTTTTTTTGTTTTTTTTTTTTGGTTTGCTGAATTATGATAATTTAGTTTCTTAGATCTTATACTTTAGGAAAAATTTAGCTAAATTTATCACAAGTGATGGTAATTTGGTTAAAGTTTCTTTCCTTTCTGTGTTGGGTGTCTGAAATTTTTGATACAAGGTAAGGAGAGATATGTATATAAACTAGGAAAAGTGGGATAAACAAAAGCAACAAACTGTCGATGGTTAGTGGATTGAAAGCATCTCCTGAAATCCTACGTCTCATATCTACTTTAACAGTTTTACATTATTTGATTTATATAAAATTGCATATAATTTCATAGTTCTGACTTCCTAAAATAAACCAGGCATATTTTTTAATTATATTTATAGCTATTGATTGATTAGCCAACCCCACTTATGGGATTGATGCTTTGATGGATTGATTTATTTACAAATATTGATTATAATCTGGCATTTTTGTTGATATAATATTTACCTTCATGACAGTCCTATTTTTCAGAAAACAGAATATTTTGATTAAATTCGATCTTTTTACTTTTAATCTATATTAAAACATTTTATATACACCCGGGTGCACATAGGGGTGCGTGAATTTCTTACAATTAAGTGTGCTGTAAAAGCAGAATTTGACCCTTTTTGTTATTAAATTTTAGATGCAAATAATGGATTTTGTAGATGGGTAGGAATTTTTGTGCCCTCGACCCTCATTTTGTGAATGAATAGCCTCTTCGTTTATTTCATACTTCATCCGTTTCTATTTAGTTGACGCGTTTGATTTAGGCACATATATTAAGGAGAGGAGAGAGAATGAGAGAGAATGAAAAAACAAGTGAGGTAGCTTATAAATACAAGGTAAAAATTTTACCCCAAAAGGAAACCTGTCAACTTAAAAAAAAAACTTCTTGAAAAGGAATACGTGTCAACTAAAAAGAAACGGAGGTAGTATATATTTTGTTTTTTATTTATCAAAAAAGGTGTTATAAAAGGCTCTAACTTGATGAAAAAAATATAAAAGGTAACTTGCTTATAGTGCTTTTTGAAGGATGTTAGTTATAAATTTATCCTTTCATATACTTTAAGCTGTGTTAGAACAACAATGATTGGTGGCGGAAGGTGGAACTGTGAAAGAGGTGATGTTTTGGAGGGATTGGGAGGAGGAATAAAGCAGAGTGGTGGAGGAGAGAAAGAGGATGGCATAGTTGATAAATAAAAGGGCCTGAGGGGAAAGGAAGGTTGAAAGGATAGTCTAAATCGCAGTAAAAGATAAGTTGTTTTGGGAAAAAGGGGTTAAATTGAGTTGGTATTTTATTCTAATTTCTTATTGCATAGCAATTTATGCCTTTTTTGTTAACCTTATCTGCATGTATTGTTTTTTGGCCATCGTAGGGACAGTATAAGCACTGAATATAATCCAGCATCACTGGGGTTTGTCTCCACTGGATGTTCTGTTGCTTATCGGTTCTATCATATCAAAGATCCTTCTCAGGTATGAGAATGACAGTATGTAAAAATCTTTTTTTTTTTTTTTTTCCAGAATGTGATTATAGCTCCATATTGTTATGAAGTCATAAAAAAAAAAATTCATGTGGTCTATTATAGTTTGGAATACGTATAAATCATCTAATATTTGTTATAAAAATATTTGACATTTCACTCTCTACTAGCAAGGGTCCGTCGTTTGTTTGATGGGTAGGGATTAGGGAAGAAATCTTAAAAGGAAGGAAAAAGATCCTTTCAGTGAATTAATGTACAAAAAAAATAAAAAATAAATAAAAAAAAAGAAGAAAAAAGATAAATTACCCTTGTTTCCCTTCTGTACTTCCTGCGACCAACTAAACGCCTTCCTACTTCTTTAACCACTAAGTTCTTGCAGTGTTCTAAGCATAACTTTCTCTCACCTTTACCACCACCACCACCATTACTACTTGGACAAATTTTAAATAAATCGAATGGACAATAAATATTGTATATCCGTTATACAAATTCCCTAAAATGAGCAAAAGTTACTCTAATATGAATAAAAGTTATCCTAACATAAATAAAAGCTACGAAGTATTTATGCTTTATTAGTAAAAGTTATTTAAACAATTGTAAAAGTGACCCTAAATTTGATAAAAAGTGACCCCGATGTACAGTAAATTACTGTACACCGGATGTATACAAAAGTTATTCTGACTGCTACACAACCACCAGCTCTAATGCCTACCTTCTTTCCTTGTCCTGAACCATTGTTTTGTCCCTCAGTCAAGGAAACCCTTGCGTCATGTAAAACTGAAGCTTTTATTTGTTGTGTTTAGGTAATAAACAACTTCAACAGACAATCACTAATTAACCAAATTTCTTTTAACCTCTATTTCCTATATATATATGATTTGCAACTGAAATTATCCGTAATATCCTCATGAGAGACCAGATCTTGTATCTTGAACTTTTAAATATTATATTTTGTAATTTTTTTTTCTTTACAAAAATTGTTTCTACCTGATACTTATCGCTAGTTCTGCAAATTTATATACAAGATTGCCTGTTGTCATCAAACTTGTTTATTCTTAACAATCTTTGGGTTAATGTTTCTTTATTATAAACTCTAAACCATTCTCTAAATTCTCTTTCTGCCTTAACTTGTTTTTCTTGATATAATATTCAAAATTTAGAAGCAGTAGTTGATGAATGAGTTCATTCAACAATAAATTACTGTAAGCTTCTTGGATTCCTTAAAAACTAAAATGATTCTGTTATATGAAGTTGATTAAGAAGTACTTTGTTAAGTGTGATTAGAAATTTTATGATGATTTGCTAGTAATAGTTATCTTCACTTTTTTTCCAGTTGCGCATGGATGATATCCCGAAGTTGCTGGAAGAATACAAAGAGCTTCTGGGTGATTGATATTAGTTGTAGGTACCTTGAAACCAAAGAATGAATTCAGAATATCTTTTGGCATCCTAGGTCAATACCAATTAAATTTTTGTGCTATCATCAATCGAAGGTATTTTGTTGTTGTCCTGCTGGAGGTAGTAGTAGTTTTTTGAAACCGGGAGCGATTAGAAGCAATCTCCAACCTCAGTCGGAATGGTTGCAGCACCATGGTGATCGAGCATCCACATATTTTATAACTACATGATGTCCTTTTCTTTTATACAATGAATCTGTCGAAACTTTACTCAGTGAACTTGATATATTGAATATCTGTAATATATTCTTTTGATGATATGCTATAGGAACAAATTATGTGCATTGAGGAAATGCCATACCTGTATATTGAAAAGGAAGGAAATAGGTCAAACCATTTCCATGGTACCTTGTTTTCTTCGTTATGGGATGTGCTCAGATATTTTGTTTGAAAAATTAAATAATCGTTGTTTTGGGTTATGCATAATACAGTACATAACTAAATTGCACTTATCACAAAACAACGTTACAATTCTCTCTTATCTTAAATTAGTTTTGATAATGACACATAATTTTAGGTGATGCTGCCAAAGTTGTTCGGTTAAAGGTTTGAAAGGAAATAGTGTATTATTTTATTAAAATCTATACTAATCTATTAAAAGACGTTACTAAAAACGTGTTTGCGCTACGTAAATCACACCATGTCACCTACTTCATTTCTCATTATGCCACATCATCATTACTCAATCAACTTGAATCACTATGCCACGTCACCCGATATTGCTTCATATAAAAAAAATAATAATGAGTTTTGAACACCCAATCTCTTATTAAAAAAATAGTTATTTAAACCATCTAAGCCAATTAATACATATAATCACATGGAATAGCAACCCGGTGCAACGCTCGGGCCACACACTAGTTAGATATGATAAGGTGATAGTGGAGTATTTTATTTTTATTTTTTTTTATTTTTATTTTTTTAATTAGGATGTGAGAGAGTGTTGGCTCTCAATTTTCGTCTTGGATCGAGAATATATTAATACAATAGTAGGGTGATTCTTAGGCCAACATCGTGTTGTGACACTTACTACAACACAAGAATAAAAGCGTTAGTTAATAAATTTGTCGGGTCCCCTTGAAGAATCTTATATAAGATTATATATAAAAAAAAACATGTATGTGCGTATTACTGTTGTAGCTATAAGTTTTGTTTTTCTTTAATGCTTATTCAATATTCAATTTAGGTGGTTAGTCAGTTTCGAGTTAGCTTAGGTAGAGCTTGATTTGGGTATTTCTACCCCGCCAAGTGGTCCAATGAGAGTGCGATACGCGTGATAGGATAAAGTCGTATCACCTAGTCAAAAATAATTTTTAAGTTCCTCTAACTATGCAGATAGGGAAGAAGGGTCGAACCACAGGGAAACAAGTCTTCCTATTTCTAACTAATTAATACTATCTAAATTATAGAGTAACTAAATTATAGATATGATAGATTAAGCTAAAGGAGATGAAAGTAAGGAGAAATCAATTAGTAAAAGCCTAGTGTATAGGTTCACCAATAAATAATATTACAGGGTAAAACATAATAATCAATCATCAATGCAATAATTTATCAGATCATAAAGAGCTTTCGCTACGTATTACAATCACAAAATTAATCTACTGGTGTTAAATCGCATCTCTCGAATCTTGACTTAACCATTTATAAATTAACCTGCCTATTGAAACTAAGGCTAAATATCAATTCTCATCTCTCAAATCTCGAATTAATATTGCTAAACTCATACAAATTAAATCTGTGTAAATCTAATTGCATAGCATAAAAACAATCAATAAGAAATTAATCAAGCATTGAAAATCAACAATAATAAATTACCCCTTCATATTATTTATGGATCTCCCCAAACCCCAGAAAGAAAACTACTCACACATAATTAAATTTAAACTAATCAAAGCAAATAAATAAGACATGATGAATCAAAGAAATTAAATTCCTGAAAATAATAGAGATGAAATCGTTACCAAGATTAACGGAAATTATGAATTGAATTAAAGAACACAGTTGCAGAGAGGAAACAAGAGCGAATTTTTAAGCTAGAAACTAAGTAGAGAGAGAAAAGCTAAGAGAAAAGATAGTTGTTTCAAAACAACTAAAAACATATTTATACAAAACCTCTAAAAATCCTAATTAGAAACTAAGTAAAATCGCGGGAAACAATCCTCCAACACATGCGCCCGTTTGGGTGAGGCACCGCCCGCCCGGGCCCGCCTTTTTTAGTTTTGAAGCACCTCTCGCTCTCGGTCGGGCGCGAGACAAGGCACCAATCAGCGTTCTTGTTCTTCCGCCCTGCCCAGTCAAGCGCGCCACAGGGCGAGGGCTCACCTGATCGGGAAGGCTAGCTTGGGCATCTTGGACTCTTGTTTTGGGCTAACAACTTGGCTCAAATGCTAATTTCCTCCTTGGGGCTTTAGTCACTTGGCCCAATGCCTCAGCTTCTCATATGTTGAGCCCTTAATCACTGGTTTGATGACTCTAACCTGCCTTGGGCTACGAAAGATGGTCGTGCTCTTCCAATGCTTGTAGTTGCTCCCAATAATCCCGGTAAAATACTCCAAGTGTGCAATTTCCTACAAAACTCAACCAAAACTACGAAAATACTAGAAAACACAAATTAGTAATAAAAGTGGCTCTAAAGAGCCAAAAACACGTACTACTAATTATGACCAAGGGACGAGGGTAAATCACTATATAAAATAGACATATGAAGGTGTCACAAAAAGAGTTGTCCAAATGGACTTCCCAGATGTTGACACGTGTCATGCAGATTTGGCCCTTACGAGTGGCGGCCTTCAAGGCCCAAATCCCAAGGAGCCGCAAAACGGTGTTGCCCTAACTCCTAGGTCATCAAACCCTAGGATAGGGCACACCTTTCTAGGACCCTATAAATAGGGAGATTCCCCCATTTATTGGGACATGTCTTAATCATTACATCATTTATTACTCTTGAAAATAGAGAACACCGAATCTCGAAATCCGAGAAGATATTTACTTTCAACACGTTTTATTTTGAATTCGTACTAACTTAAACTTTGGAGGCAGACCTCTGAACATCCGCAGGTCCTTTCTTTTGCAGGTACAGGCGTCTTTGTTGGACCCAGTCTTCAAGTTGTAACTCCCCCAAGGGACACAAAAACACTCAAAACATTTGGCGCTGTCTGTGGGTAGAGTACGCCAAAGATGGTTTCACAAGAACATGTATCGCTTCTAGAACCCAGCCGGCCTACGGTTGATGCAGAGGTCCGTTCCGACCATGAATATAGTGACAACCGTGAAGTAGAAACCTATGTGGCCCATGATGGGTCATTCATCTCTAAGTGCATCCGTCACAAAGAGAGACGGGAGTGGAACGTTGACCAGGTCGGTACAAGCAATCCCCCTGGACAACCGTCTGATCAGAATTAGACGGCATGATTAGCCCTAGTCACCCGAGACGAGCTCATGAAATTCATGACAAGTTTCAAGGGCGAAATCAAGGAATTAATCACCAATAGGACGACTACTCCTAGGAAGGAACAGTCGGCCAAAAAACCAGCTCAGGCTGAGAAAGTAAAGTCAGTTAGGAACCGACAGCCTACTCCTCACCCTCCTACGAATGTAAAGGCTCGGTCCTAGATTGACCTCTCTAAACTCCGTTTCCCAAAAACGACAAAAATAAAGGCTATCCGGCATGTGCAGCCGAACGACAACAAAAAGACCTCTGATGCTCGACACTACATTGAGCGAAAAGAAGAACCAGCAGTCGTCTGAGTCAGCATCTACATTGACTTATCCGGATAGCTTCAAGAATACCTCATTGAGGAATTCTCAATCAGTACATGGGACTCCGCCAGGCGGCCCATCCATCTACACGGGTCCCCATGTTATCAAATCGACAAAGTATATGCCCATCCATTATACAAGCCGTCTGATTTGCCCTACATCCAGCTTGCCTTTTTCGAAGGACAGTCGGTATACAATTACCAGCCTATGGACTGGCATCTTCAGCTAAAATACCTTAGAGAACAACCCTCTCCGTTCTCTAAGGAGATAGCTGAGGCCGAACAGTCGGCCAAGGTTAAGAATGTGTTGGTAGGGACCTATGACGGTACCTCCAACCCAGAAGATCACCTTCTAGCATACACCCACCTCATGTATCTACAGGGGTTGGATGATACCTCTTGGTGTCGCTGCTTTCCAGAAACCCTGATAGGCATATCCCAACAGTGGTTCGACAACCTACCGGCTAGATGCATAAATAGCTTCAAGACGCTTGTGTTTTTGTTTGCTTCCAACTTCTCTATGAACATCCCTACAAAGAAAACAAGTCTTGACCTGAGCAATGTGCAGCAGGGAGATAGAAAAGGACTGCGTTCCTACGTCAGGCGGTTCAATCTGGCGAGAATCCAGATTCAAGGGCTGTCTGACGAGGTAGGCTATACAGACTTCTTCACCCTCCAAGGAGTCCTAATTGAGGCGGAAGCCTATATATATACAGGCGATCGAACTCTGCTCCTCAAACAAGCAGTCAGACTCTAAAGAGTCTGACAAGCAGAAGGATAGTCGGCCTGCTCTGCCGGCTCTAAAACCTAAAGAGAGCAAGAAGAAAAAAGAGAACTGGGCGGTTGATAACTATAATTTTCCGGCCCAGATCAAAGAAGAAAAAAGAATGGAAACTGTACGTTCTAAGGTCCGAGTTTAATAAGGAAAGCTACTCCATCCTCATGGAGATAAAGGATCGGCTGACCCTAGAGAAGCCGACTCCAATGAAAGGTTTTGCTGAAAATCGGAACAAAAACAAACATTGCCATTACCATAAGGACGTCGGCCATGACACCAATGACTGTTTCATCCTCAAGCGGACGCTTGACCGTCTGGCTGACAAAGGAGTGCTGCAGTCCTATGTGAAGTCCAAAGTAACTTCCAAAGCGAATCCAAGGCAGTCCTTTAAAAAGACTCCCCAGCCTACGTGTAATTACGGAAACGATAAATAGCCGGTCTACACTATAGCAAGAGGATTCGGCGAAGGTGGCCCGACCATACGGGGCACTAAGGACCATCTAAGAAAGATGGTTTATTCTGTTGAGGAGGGACAGGCGGCTGGAACTACCGCCTTCCAAGAAGTCGTAATCACGGAGAAAGACCTGGGCAAAGTCCGCCGGCCGCATGATGACCCTGTGGTCATAGAATGCAAAGTGGCCAACCAAAAATTCGACTGCATTCTGATTGACACAGGTAGCTCCTCCGACATCATTAGCCGCAAATTCCTATATAACCTCAAGTATAAGCCGGATAGCATGCATGATGTCTCCCATCCGCTTGTTGGATTAGGGGGAGAAGTGGTGTACCTAGTCGAACCGATAGATCTCCTTGTCTGGTTGGGAGAAAAGGGCAAAGGACGACACATGACCATCCGGTTTCTGGTGGTCGAAGAGTTGATCGCC